TGCCTGTGCAAACCAGCATCTGCTGGGGCTGTTTCAGCCTCCCTCCTGCTCCCACCTCCTGCAAGGGCAGCCTGAGATGAGAACCCAACAGGTAAAATGTGTGGGTCTGACCTTCCCTGCCTCTCTGCATCATCATGCCCATGGCTATACAATGCAGCAGTGGCAGAGCAGGGAAAGAAGCCCGGGAGTTCTTGTTGCCAGTAGCTGCTGGTAGTGGGTCCCCTTGTTTCTGCTGGCTCCCATCACTGAGAAGAAAGTTAATTAGTGTGTCACTGTCTGTTCTCATCCCCATTCCCAGCTTGGGAATGGTTGGGGCAGCACTGTCAAAGTGATCCCTAATAAAAAGCTGTTCGATGGGAACCACAGCATTGCTGGAGCTGCTCAGGCTGCTTCTGGTGAGAAACAGTCAGAAAGCTTCAATTCTGGAATGAGGAGTTCTGTCCTGGGAATGGCAGATGGCAAGGACAGGGCAGGGTTTTCCATGGTGCCATCCTGGATCCCATCCCCTGGGATGCCACAGGGAGGGCGAGTGGGCAGCCTGGCTGGTTTGCCAAGGGTTGACTGCAGATGGTGGCTTCAAATAGAGACAGGTCAAGTGGGTGACAGTGGGACTAGATAGCAAAGGCACCAAGGGGATGTCTTTGCATCTTCTGCAGAGCTCCTGCTGCCTGTGTCCCCCACCCCATCTGGGCCTTCCTGGGGGCTCTTAGTGCCTCTGGACACCCCAGGCAGCAGAAGCACCCAGCTCCCAGCAGGGACCCTCTTTACACTGAAGAAGTCAGCATCTCCCCTTGTGATACCTTCTGCCTGCCTTCCCCATGCCCGAGAGGAGAGGGTGTCTGGTTAGTCTGGCTTCAATGGGCAGCTGGGCTTCTGCCTCTGCCCTGCCACAGGGCTGGGGCAGCAGCTCTGCAGTGGTGGGGAGGGATGCAGTGATGTGGCCCCCTCCATCATAGCTTTGGCAGCAGCAGAGGCCCCTGCCAGCAGGATGTGGGGTTCTCCACAGGACACATAAGTGCTCAGATGTGCCCCAGCTCTCGCCCAGTGCAGTCTGTGCTGACAACAAATGCATCATCTCTCACACAAGTTGTGAATTGGGAAGGGAGGCAGGATGTGTGTCCTGCCCTGCACCCCAGGTGTGGGGCTGGTGCTGGGATGGTTGCACTGGGGCTTTATGTTCTGTCCCTACAGTGGGTCCAGGAGGTTCAGCTCCTACCTGGGTACAGCCCTGGGAGCCTGCCCAGAGCCGATGTGCTGCTGGAGCAGAGGCCATGAGGACTGTGCCTCCTGACTCTCTTCAGCCTCAGGGTGCACCAGGGCAGGTTTAGATGGAGCTGAGGAACAATTCCTTGCCCAGAGGGTGCTCAGGCATTGGAACAGGCTGCCCAGGGCAGTGCTGGAGTCACCGTCCCTGCAAGTGTCTTCGAGGTGACGGCAGGCTCAAGGATGCTCGACTGTGGCACCGGCTTTGCCAGAGGTTGGAGCAAACACGGCAGAGGAGTGGCTGAGCTGGCTGGGTGCAGTGCTGCTCAGCTGCACTGGGGTGTGAAGTGCCTGCAGGGGTGGGTGCTGCTCAGCTGCCGCTCTTCACCCATTATGGGACGTGCCACTGGTTTCCACATCAGACCTGGCGCTTCCTCACCAAGGGCTGGATGGTCCCGGAGCTCCAGCTGGGCTCTGAACACTCCATGGCTCATCCCTGCCCGCAGCAGGGACAGGGGGGTGATGGGAATGTTTTTCTCCCCTCTGTCTCCTCTTCAGCCGTGATTGCTTTGAACAGGCACTTGCTGCCTTCAGAGATGGGCTCAGCTCCTTTATCTATCCCCTGTCAGGCATACGCATGGTAACAGGGTTTTGCACACCCAGAAAAGGCACAGGGAATGGTGTGTCCTCCAGGAGCCTGCCTGGGCTCTGTGGGATGGGGGTTCTCTGCTGCACTCCCCCACACCTGGGAGGGGTCAGACACGTCCCCACCAGGCACCCCGGGGCTGGCAGCACCATCACCAGGGGCTGGAAAACTGCTTCATTCTATAGCAGCTGCTCCTGTGGCTGGTGGGAGGCTGGAGAGCCCCAGACATGGGGTGACAGGGAGCTGCCGACAGAGCTTAACTCTGCCCAACGTTAGTATCTATTCTTCTTTAAAGGCTTCTTCCTTCCCTTTTTCCTCCTGGTGTTCCTGGCTGCTTGCTTTCCCTCTTGCAATGTCTTGCATCAGGCTTGGAGCAGAAAGTGCAGCCATAAATGGCAACACACAGGGCCCAGGAGTTTAATCCAAGATAATTTTCTCCCCCTGCTTTTGTGTCCTGGGATATTCCCCTTTCCTGGAGCTCAAGTGGGACACTTCTTTGCCTCCATCCTGGCGTAAGTGCCAGGGCTGTCCCTTCAACTGAGGAAGGGGAGAGGGATACGTCAGCCCCATGGCCTCCTCGTGCCCTTTCTCAGAATGGAAACTTATTGCTCAGAGGGGTTTGTGTTGGGGTGGAGGAAGTGGGGAGGAAACAGCCAGAAATGAGCTAAAAACCAGATGCTGCTGTGATGTGTGGGGCTGGGAGTGGGCTGGAGTGGTGACCATGAGAGGGGATGTCAAGCCTTATTCCTCCTGGGAGACTCGGGGCTGTCCGTGCTCAGGGCTGCCTGTGCCCAGAATGGCCCTGGAGGTGTTGTCCTTTGCTTTGCTCCAAAGCCTCTGCTGTTCGAGTTGGCTTCACGCGCAGGCGTCTCATCTCACTTGTTGGCCATGGAAGCTAAAGGGCAAAAGCCCGTTTCTGATGATCCAACAAATGCTTTAGCACTAAAGCCAAGAGCTGCCACCAGGCAGCACAGATGATTTGCTGCATTGTTATTAAAGGTGAATGACTGGATGTGAACCCTGCGGTGGTGGGTGCTGCCCTTTCCCGAGCCCCCGCAGGGTCTACAGAGCCATGTGTGATTCACACCGGAGCAGGCACAGGATGTGCTGTGGAGTGCGCTGGGTCCATCCCACCTGCAGGCAGGAGCACAGGGCACATTCCTGGTCCCGTGTGGCCTTGGGGCCAGGCAGCTCCTGCCCAACACGTGCCCTTCCCGCTGTGTGTGTGTGACCCAAGCTCGCTGGGTCAGTCTCCTCCCAGTGCTCCCGGATGATGTGTGGTCGCCTCGTGGTGCTTCGTGTCACCCTTCTTTTCTGTGGGGAGGATTTCTTGGTGTGCAGCTGTGGAGAGCTGCTGGCTCATGGGCTGGTGGCCGGAGCACTCAGGTCCTTGCTTCTCCTTATGACTGCCTGACAGGAGGTTGTAGTGAGGTGGGGTTGGTCTCTGCTCCCAAGGAACAAGGGATGGGACAAGAGGAAATGGCCTCAAGCTGCACCAGGGCAGGTTTAGATGGAGCTGAGGAACAATTCCTTGCCCAGAGGGTGCTCAGGCATTGGAACAGGCTGCCCAGGGGAGGGGGGGAGGACCCGTCCCTGCCAGGG